TCCTCAACCAGATGAACAGGTGAATGAGGAACAAGCAGAAGAAGCAGGAGGAACAGATCCAGAAGCTCCTTAAATTGGAGTTCCAACAAGGGAATTTCAACCCAGGCCATTTAAGTATCAAGGTTCCCATCCAACTGATCTCATTATCAGTGATATAGGAAAAGGAACTTAAACAAGATCACAAATGAGGAACTTCTGTGCATTCCATGCATTTATGTCCATCCTAGAGCCAAGAAATCATCAAGAACCCTTGAGAGATGCTGATTGCATAATGGCCATGCAAGAGGAACTCAATGAGTTCAAAAGGAACAAAGTCTAGCACCTTGAGCCAAAGCCTAAGGGTAAGAAAATTATTAGGCTCAAATGGGTGTTCCGGAACAAGCTTGATGAACATGGCACCATAGTAAGGAACAAGGCTAGATTGGTTATGAAGGGATACAACCAACAAGAAGGTATTGATTTCGATGAAACCTTTGCTCCTGTAGCTAGATTAGAAGCTATTAGAATCCTAGTAGCTTTTGCTTCTTTTATGGGTTTCAAACTCTATCAAATGGATGTGAAATGTGCTTTTCTTAATGGTTTCTTAAATGAGGAGGTGTTTGTTGAACAACCTCTAGGTTTCAAAAATCCTAAATTTCCCAATCATGTTTTTAAGATTGATAAAGCTCTCTATGGGCTTAAACAAGCTCCAAGAGCCTGGCATGAAAGGCTTTCAAAGTTCCTACTGAAAAATGATTTCAAAAGAGGAAAAGTAGACAAAACTCTTTTTCTTAAATCATGATCTCGAGGAATTGATTTGTTAGTTTTACAGATCTATGTAGATGATATTGTATTTGGTGCTACTAACAATGGTTTGTGCAAGTACTTTGCTGAGCTAATGGGTGGTGAATTTGAGATGAGCATGATGGGTGAATTAAATTTCTTCCTTGGACTTCAAATAAAGCAAAAAGCTGAAGGAATAATGATTCACCAACAGAAGTATGTCAAGGAACTTCTGAAGAAGTACAACATGGAGAATGCCAAGACAAATCACACACCTATGGGAACAGCAACAAGACTTGATGAGGATCCACAAGGAACAAGTGTGGATCAAACCACTTACAGAGGTATGATTGGTTCATTGTTATATCTAACACCCAGTAGGCCTGATATTTCTTTTAGTGTTGGATTGTGTGCTAGATTTCATTCTAATCCTAAAGAATCACATCTAACGGCTGTTAAGAGAATTTTGAGATACCTTTAAGGAACAGATGACATGTGTCTGTTCTATCCTAGAAGTGATGACTTTATGCTTAGAGGATTCACATATGCTGACTATGCAGGTGACTTAGTCAACACGAAAAACACCTCAGGTATGGTTCAGTTCCTTGGCTCTTATCTTGTTTCTTGGGGTTCCAAGAAACAAAATACTATTGCTTTGTCTACTGTAGAGGTTGGGTATGTAGCAGCAGCTGCTTGTTTCTCTCAATTCCATTGGATCAAACAACAGTTGCGTGACTTTGGTATTAAATTTAATTGCATTACTATCTATTGTGATAACACTAGTGCAATTTGCATATCTAAAGATCCAGTCCATCATTCAAGAGTCAAGCATATTCATATAAGGCATCATTTCCTTAAGGATAATGTTGAAAAGGGTTTGATTAAATTAGACTTCTGCCAAACTGACAATCAAATTACAGATATTTTAACAAAACCCTTGAATAGAGAAAGGCATAAGAAGATGAGAATGGAACTTGGGATGATTAAGTTATATTGAGAAAAATGCATCAAGTTCCCTCAGGTATGAAACTCAAACTGACATGCTTAAACTATTGTATACTGTGCACAAGTGTTATATGTTTAATCACATAGTTAAGACATGTTGTAAGCATGAGTAATATTTACTAAGGGCATGTAAATTTGAAAAACATAGAATGTAGAAGTCCAAAATTGGTTGCATGAGCCTTGTTGAATTGTTCTGTGTATCAAGTTGCATTTTCAAGTGTTTTTCTTTTGATTAAATTCAAGAGATAAAATTATTGTGTTTATCTATTTTTCAAAATTCCAAATTCTTTTTATCTAAACACAAAAATCGGATGAATGCATCTAATATTCATCATTATCTTTTGTTCAAAAGTAGCCCACTCACATTACTCTCTTAAAACACGATTTGCGTTTCCCTAAGAAATAAATATGAGTGTCAAATCAACTTAATTCACCTCACCTCCCAAATGACACCTCACTTCACCAATTTACCTCCACCATAAAACATGTCAGCCTCACAAAAATTTACACCACACAAAAATTACCTTCTCTCTCATCACTCCGATCAAAACTACTCTCCAATGTCTACCTCTCCAAAAACCCAAATTGAAGCCGATTCAAACACAAACCCAGACATTACCATGGAAATTCCACCGGAAATCACTCCCACCGAAGTTCAAGAGCCACCAAAAGTTGAATCAACTACCGAATCTCAGTCTTCTCGCAAAAGGAAGTCTGATGACATGCAAGATGAAGAAGAAAGTGCTCCGGAACTAAGGGTCAATTACCGGGACAAGCCAGCAGCTATGAAAAGGCAAGAGAAACTTGGTGATCACTTTGTGATAGGTTTGGCTATAAATCTTCCTTGGTGTAAGTCTGTTAAGCTGTATGAATTGCTTGATTTAATTGAGTCTCAAAATTGGGTGAATTTGTTGAGTGAATGCTTCAATCGGAGTTTATATGTTGATGCTATGAAGGATTTTTGCAAAAGTTTCAAATTCTCTAAAGGTGTTATTCGTTGCTGTGTGTATGAAAAGGAAATTGAGTCTGATGCGATGTACTTGGCTGAGTTGTTTGATGTTCCTAAAACTGGGTATGATCTGTATTTCAAAAGTAATGTGATAAGGAACCCTCTTCCTGATGCAAATATTGATGAAATAGTGGAGTTTCTAGGTGGTGACCTGGAGGAAACCTACATAAACCACAATGACCTAACCCCTCTTGACAAAATCTTGCTGAAGTTTGTTTTTAATGACATAATCCCTCGCTCCCAAAAGAGAGACAGTGCCAACAAGCTTGACTTTGTTCTCATCTACTGCCTAGCCAAAAAGATCCAAATCAACTTTCCCTCTATCATGATCCAACACCTCTCCCACTGTGTTCCAAAAGGATGGAACGTGGGATATGGTAACCTACTTACCTATGTCTTTGAAAGCTTTGGTATCTCCTTTATTGATAAAGAACCCCTTCCCCTCAAAAACATCGAATACATGTAACCTATTTTCCTTGAAAACCATAAGATGAAGGTTGTGGATGGATGTTTTGAAGTTGTGCTGGAGGAAAAGGAGAAAAGGCCAAAGGAAGTAGGAGCACCAATTGAGGGGAAAGAAGAGAGGGCTACGGGGATAGTAGAGGGAGTGGTGCAGGATATTCAAGAGGAGGAAGAGGAAAAGATAGTTGAGGAGGTCACTGAAACAGGGGGAAGGAAGAAAAGGGAGAGCTTGAGGTTGATGAAGAAAAAGGAGCCCTCTGCACCCATTTGCATTGACATCACTGGGTGCAGGAGGATTTGCAGAAAATCACAAGCTCTCTTATTTCGAGCAAGTATGCATCTACAGGAACAGGTTTTGCAACTTTCAGTTCCCCACCAAAGGTTCCCGGGGAGGATATGAAGGAGATGAAGGATATGCTCCTGAAGGTGGTGAAGGAACAAGAGGAGTCAAAGCTGCATGTGGAGGAACTGAAGAAGAGTATGCTCACTCTTGATGTTGATGTGAAGAAACTGGTCTCAAGCTTGGAGAAAGGGAGACAGTCCACTGTCAAGGACATAGTGTCTCAAATCTGCAAGAAGGTGGAGGATCTTGCTGTTGATGATGACCAGAGCATTGCTTCTTAACCTATCTTTCCTTGCAGCCTCTTTATGTTGATGAAACTTATATTTTATCTGTTTTTGGGAAACAATTTTTAATTTGGTCAGTAATATTTTGGGCACTTTTTAATTTCTTTTGGCAAACTTGCAAATTTGGTACATTTGGCCGATGTTTTAAATCGGTTTTGGATGTTTAATATCTATGTATATTATGCTTATATGCTTTGTGAATATTTTCTCTCTATGCATGCTTCTTGTCTTAACACTAAACCACTAGATGGTGTTATGTTATGGTATACTATATGCTTGTATGTTGGTTTTTGATAATGCCAAAAGGGGGAAAAGATGCAAACTATCTAGAAAACTTAACCATTCTATGGTCTCTGTTCAAAATCTTCACAAGTTGCCTACTCTCTACAAGCAGGTATAATGTATATACATGTTTTTCAGTTTTTCCTTAAGTTATTTATTTAAGCATAGCTTTTACTTCCTTAGCATTAGTTCCCTTTCTACATTGTACTTTGTTTTTGCATTTTCTTTTCTTTAAGAATAAGTTGGATTATCTCTGTTTCCTTGTAATTAAGTTTGGTTTGTTTGTCATCATCAAAAAGGGGGAATATTGTTGGACTTAATGATTTCGATGATGACACAACCTTACTTACTTACTTACAAACTAATAAGTGCTTGATTGTTTAAGTGTGTGCTCAGTTGCAAAGACCAGGAGAATTAAGTGTCTTCACTAGTAGAAAAAAGCAAAAAGGCACCGCTCAATGGCCACCGATTTTAAAAACCGGTGGGGAAAAAAAGGGGAAAATGGGCGGGATTGTGGGGATATATTATTGCCACCGGTTCAAACCAAACCGGTGGGGAAAATGTTATTCCCACTGGTTCAAACCGGTGGGTTTGTGATTAAAAAAAAAAAACCGCCCCTTATAAACCCTAACCCTACCTCACTTACTCCACTCTTTCTCAGCCGTCCTCTTTCTCCCTCCCCTCCTTCTCTTTCTCTCTCCTCTCTCCTTTCTCCCCTCTCCTCCTTCTCTTCCTCATCTCCTTGTCTCTCTTCTTTTTCGACTCCTTCTCATCTCAAAAAACCAGAAATTCAAGAGCAACATCGACTATTCCGTCTCCTTCTCTTTCTCATCTCCTTTTCTTTCATTTCGAGGACATGCATGAGCAAGAGTAACACTGACTATTCCCAAATTCAATATAATTTTGAGGGTTTTTGTTGAAATTCGAGGTAATCTCTCTTATTTCTTATTTTTATTTTGTTTTTTGTTATTTTTGGTGGAATTCGAGGGATGTGGTGGTTTTTGGTGGTGGTTGTGTTTATGACGGTTTAAGGTGGGTGGGTTTTTGTTATCTTTGTCCAAATTCGAAATGGATTTTTCTGGGTTTATGAGTTTAATTGATTTCGAAATTTTTCTGGGTTTAATTAAATTTCGAAAATTTTCTGTGTTTAATTGATTTCGAAATTTTTCCGGGCTTTTCTGGGTTTCGTAAATCTGGTTTTTCTGGGTTTTTCGAAATTTTTCTGGGTTTTTCAGGGTTTCGTGAATCTGGTTTTTTTTTCACATTTGGTTGTGAGTTTTATTAATTTCTGGGTTTTTTTAAATCGAATTTTCTTAGTTTTAAGATCGATTTTAATTCAATTTCTATTCGATTTTTATTCGATCTTCTTATGGGTTTAATTCGATTTTAATTATGGGTACATGCTTTTTCTGGGTTTTTTTTTAATGATTTTAATCAATTTATGGGTACATGCTCGATTTATAGATACATGCATAGTGTTCTGAGTTTTTTTTTTTCGCAGCTTATGTATATTAGTCGATTTATTTTTTTGTTTTGATTGATGCAGGTATATTGATTTAGATCTTAAATCGAAGAATCATGATGCAGGAATATTGTTTTTGATGTTGTATGGGGTTTTTTTTATTTTGATGCTGTAATTTTTTTTTTTTGATTTGTATTGTAAATTTTTTTTTTTTTTATTTATATGTTGTAATTGATCAATTTTATTGATTTATATTGTAAATAAAATTTCGATTATATAGATTGATATTGTTTTGATTTATATTTTGATGTTTGTAATTTTTTTTTACTGAATTGTTCTGTTATATTTCTTTTTGAAAAAGACAAAAAAAAAATATGTATACATGTTATTGCCACCGGTTAACCGGTGGCAAAAATAATTAATACCCAAAAACAAAAAAAGCGCGAAACGATAATTGCCACCGGTTAACCGGTGGCAATACCCCTTTTTACCACCGGTTTTGAACTGGTGGCCTTGCTTCGGAGTATTGCCACCCCCCAAATGACCACCGGTTCAAAACCAGTGGCATTGGGGGGTTTTGAACCGGTGGCCAATTCATATTTTCGTCTAGTGCTTGTAAAGATACCAAGAGGAACAAGAAGGCCAGAAGCAGAGCTATCCATAAAGAAGAGTTCCATTGCAGGAACTGGTGCTTCAGAAATGAAGACTTGAGAAGAGAAGGTTCCCCTTAAGGAACAGAAGCTTCAGAGAAGAAGCCTCATCAGAGAAGAGAAGTTCCTCCCAAGGAACAGAAGCCTCGGAGTAGAAGCTTCATCAGAAAACATGAAGACTAAATATATTTTTATATTTTAGGATTTATGTAAGAATGAGATATTAAGTTGCACTCGAAAATTATGTGTGGAATTGGTCCAAAAGATAAAATTGTGCATGCTAGTTTTTAGGAAAACTGTTGCTTTCTAAACGTTTATCTTTTTCCAAATTAAAAGGCATTTTATTTTATTTCTGATTTTTCTAAAATATCTTCTGAAAATAATATCTCCCACGTTTTCTAATAACTTGCGGCCTACTCCTCCATGATTTTCTTCAAGTCATGGTCTTGCACATTGAGAGTTCATGTTTCCTTAATTTAGGAACATGATCTTCTTAGTGGGTTGGAGTAGTGGCGTAGTGGATTTTCTGCACAAAGAAGTTTTTCCTAAACGAATTTTGGTCTATAAATAGTTGTTGATTTCAGATGGAAAAACTCACCCTTGCTCACATAAGTTTTCAAGCTTTAATTCGAGTTAAGAGTCCAATTCCACACAAGTTAAATAGAGTGTTCTTAATGTTCATATACTAGAGTTTTTATTTCTTCTTTCGAGTTTTAATTTGGGGAATGGGGAAGTTTGAGTGAACTTTTGTGTATGAGAAAGAGAAGGGAAAGAGAAGTGAGAACAGAGAAGTGACAAGAGAGAAAGAGAAGAGAAGAGTAACAAGTTGGGTGACTTGTTCCTTAGGGTTTTCAAGTTCGTTGAGGAACTTGAAGTTTGAGTCTTTAGTTTATAATATGTCCATTTGCCTTATTCTAGTGAAGATTCTTTTCCCAAAATCTCAAGTGATCGTGGTTTTTCTCCTTGTTAGGGCCAAGGGGTTTTCCACGTAAAAATCTCTCTTGCATCTTCTAGTTCCTTTAGTTAATCTTTCTGTTCCTTTAGTTTACTTAGTTTTAATTCCGCAAAAAGTTTGGCTAAACTCTCATACTACAATTCAACCCCCCTTCTTGTAGTATTCTTTGGAACAACACACTCACCAGGTGACCAGGCCACCACCACCTAACATAACACCAACTACCACCACAGACACCACCTAAACCAAACTAGCCACCACCACCGGCACCACCGACACCCCCCAAACCCAGGCCACCGACACTCCCCAAAACCAGACCACCGACACCATTGAAACTTCCAAACCCAGACCACCACAACCACCGACACTGTCGAAACTCCCAAACCTATACCACCACAACCACGAACACCGCTAAAACACCCTAAACCTAGCCTAGACCACCGATCGACACTAGCGAAACCCCCACTGAAACCCCTAACACCACCTAAATCTTGACCACCCACCAACACCGACACCACCCACAAAACCCACTGAAACCACCCACAAGACCCACGAAAATCGCTGAAACCACCCATAAACCCATCGAAAATCATCGAAACCACCTACAAACCCATCCACCAAAAATCACCGAAACCACCCACAAATCCACGGAAACCCTTATATCCAGAATACCCACAAACTAGAGCTGTCAATTTGGGTATTCAAGTCGGGTTTGGGTCGGGTCAAATCAGGTTTCGAGTTAAATCAGGATTCGGTTATGTCGGGTCAATCTAGCTTCAGATCAGGTTCAGGTTCAGGTCGGGTCAATTTCAGTTCAAGTGTTAACGGGTCGCTCACCTTTTCAGATATAGGTCGGGTTCAATTCGAGTTAAAATCATATCGAGTTTAATTTCAGGTTCGGGTTGTGTTGAGTAGGGTTTGGATGGGTTAATAAGATGATACATTTGGGTTCGAGTTAGTGTTGAGTCGAGTTTTGGTTCAAGTTCAATTGTAATAAATATTGATATGGTAAACTTGAACTATATAATTACGCATTCCATAATTTGATCAAGCATCAACAAGATTTTAATAAACCTACATACGAGTTATAGAGAACAAAAGGTATACAAGCTGAACAAAATATTTTATTAAATCGGATCGAGGGTTTACAGAGTTATACCAGTATATAAGCTGAATAAAAGGTATATAAAATTTTATTAAACTTTCCATGACTCGGGCACATGTTTTAATTGGGTCGGCTACTAGTTCAGGTTCAGATTGTTTTCAAGTCGGATTAAATCGGTTGACGGTTATTATCAGGTCGGGTGTAGGTTCGGGTTCAGGTCATAAAGTATTGGATCAAATCGGTTTTCGGTTAAGATCAGGTCAGGTTCAGGTCGGGTTACAAGTCACTAGTTTCACCCCATTGTTCGAGTGCAGGTTGGGTTCAGATCATTGCCGGTTCAGGTCGGGTTCTCGGATCGGGTCAGTTTTTGACAGCTCTACCACAAACCCACGAAAATCATCCAGTCCACGAAAATAACATGTGTGTTGCTTCCCTTCTTGCCGCAAAACCACCGTACCCACGACGATGTTGCTGCTAGTGCTTGCCGGAGTCAAAATCAATGGAGGTTGCGATTGAGAAGAGAGAGAGAGCCAATAAGTTGAAAGTTGTTAGATCTAGATTAAGTTGTTAGTGTAATGTAATTAATCATCATTTAAGTGAATTTTTAATTTTTAAAATAAGGGCAATATTGACATTTCAAGTAAAAAATACTTACTAAAAAGGGAAAGATTTGGGAACGTTGCAAATAATACTAAGTATCAAATTCAGTAAAAGCTGCAAATAAAACTTAACATAGGTAGTATATCATTTGATAGCTCTTATGATCAAATTTTGTTCATATCATTTGTCCTTTACGACTCTTTATGAAAAAATAAAATAAATAAAATTGTTTGAGAAAATTGTGAGAAAGGACCTTTTAAGTGGTCGGTTTTTTTGAAAAAGGACCTTTTAAGTTGAAATTTGTGAAAAAAGGACCTTTTAAGTTGCATTTTGTTTGTAGAGGTTATTTGGGTGCTCTTGCATGGTGGTCCACGCCGGAGCTCCGGCGTTGACTATCACGTGACTTATTATTATTTATTATAAAAAAAAATAAAAAAAATTAAAAAAAATCCCCAAATTTCCCTCTTTCCCGACCTAACCCTTTCATTTTCCTCGGGAAAGAGGAAATTTTGGGGTTTTTTGTTTTTTTTTTTTTAATAATAATAAGTCACGTGATAGTAAACGCCGGAGCTCCGACATTGACCACTACGCAAGAGCTCCCAAGAACCCTCTACAAACAAAATGCAACTTAAAAGTTCCTTTTTCACAAATTTTAACTTAAAAGATCCTTTTTATTATTATTATTATTATTATTATTATTATTATTATTATTGTCGACGTCGTCGTTATAATAAGAACTTAAAAGAATGAAATTTGGCTTTATATCATTAGCAATATCATTAGACGTAAATTAAGAGCTGAACTGAACTGAGCTGAACTGAACTGAATTTCAACGGAAGAGAACAGGCCCTTAAAAGGTCCTTTCTCACAATTTTTTCAATAAAATAAAAAATCAGGTATGTGAAGACCAAAGGTCTATCAAACAGACAAACAACATCAAAAGCACAATACAAAACATATTAAACTTGAAAAGAAATTTGGCGGACCAAAATATGAGAGATATCAAATATGTAAACCACTATCATATTTGCCTGTAAAAAAGCCAACAAAACCTCAAAGGCTTCAAATGGACATTGATCCTACTGTTATAACACGCACACGATACAACTAGATGTACTTGAACGAGAAGAAAAAAAAAAACATTACCAATGATAAAGATCATAAGAGCGAAAAGGAGACCACAATTTAATTGCAAATCTTAGATATGGTATAAGAAGAATCAAAAATCGAACTTATGAAGTATTACATTAGAATGTTGATACGACTTTGATGATAACCAGAAGTTACACTTACAAATCAAATTCCCCAACTCTTGGAAATCTGGGAAATTATCTAATACTCTGCAGTATACCTTTGCTATGAGCCATTTTACAAACTGACCCACTTTTCCAACATTTTACAAACACGACTCGACTTGTCTAGGAATATAAAACCAATAATTTAGAGTTGATGATAACTCATTTAAACAAGACCAACTTTGTTAACATAATACTATACGACATGGACGAACCAAGAAAAGAATGTAACTGAGGTTTTCGACACATTTAACTAAACGGGTCAACACGATACAACACGAAACAAGTGCCAAGACTGCCACAGGAAAAAATAACCTATCATAATAATCAACATAGATAATTCCCCGATTTAATCATGCATTCATGCACATGAAACCCCTTCCACTTTTGGACCGCTAACTGTACTGTGGTTAGAAGAAGAAGACGAAGAAGTAGAAGAAGAAGTGGAAGAGGTAACTCTAAATAGCTAGCTCTAATCAACGAGATGCTGGAATACTAATTCAAGCACCAGACCTAACATAGTAGCACAGATGGCTTAAATAATGTGTTGAAAAATGAAAGGATTAACAGCTAGGTTATTATCTTTAAATTCTCAGAGCCCTGAAATAGCCTCAAGATTATACTTGGCAGAAGCCGCCTCTGCAGCTCCTTCTTTCTCCTGTATTTTTGGCTTTTCCATGGCCTCGAAAGCCTGTAAATATGCATATGAAGCATTACGATTTGGTGGAGGACTAGGATTACTAATTCGGCTTGCCAAGAAGCGGCGTAATATGCCCCGCAAAAATGGAGCCATCGTGTCCGGCTCATGCTCTAAATAATACATGATCCCACCCATACAAGCACAAAATAAAGCCACCTGTTTAAAGCAAAAGGAATTGTAGCTAGTTATAAAGTGGGAAAAAAAATTAATAATAAAAAAAAATCACCCAAAAATAAACCTCAAACCAGCAGCATAATTGGAAAAACAAGGGCTGACAGTAAAAATATTCCATGAATCGGTCAAGCACAATCTATATATCTGAATTGTTCCAGCTAACACAATAAGCATAAGCTGAGGAACAAGGTTTGATGGTTTGGGCAAGTAACATTTCTTTGGGAAAAACAAACAAAAATAGTTATAGAAGGTCATTCATCTTAAAAATGGATGGATTATAAATTAAATGGCATAAAATTCTCAATCAAAATAAAGATATCGGAGTAGAAATTAATAAAACCAGAAATGAAGAAAATTAGAGGTTGAAGATTACCTCAGCATTCTTAATATTTGGAAGCAAATGGCGATTAACCAATATGTACCATAAAGAATCTCCAGCACGCGGAAGAACATACAAGGCAAGTTCACTCCGCCTACTTTTTCTTTCAAACAGCACAGAAAGGGCAGCAAGTCCACCTGAGAGCCAATATACAAGTTTGTGGTCTTTTGACGCCACTTTCCTATGCAAACAAATTACAGCCTGCAGTTCAAGAGCGAAATCAAATTTGCGTGCCAAGAGGATCCATAAAATACCTCCAGAGAAGTGAGAAATAAGGCTACCTGAAAGATCCCAACAAATGCTGACAAGAATGTAGTTGAGCGAACAGCCTCTTTTGAAGCACGCCAACTAGTTTGAGCTGGTGTTTCCAAGAACTACAATGGATAGCAACTTTGTTTCAGGTAATAAATATACAGCTAGTTGATGAAATTGACCAAAATTGAACAGTAACGAAAATACAGCCAGTTTTAACATGCCGCTTGAGTGTTGGTCAAAATTTTACTAAAAGTCCCTCATTATTATAATTCAAAGTTTCAAACTAATGTATCCGGCCTAGAAGATAACTATAGTCCCAATATGATAGCAGTTTAGCATCCTGTGATCACTATATTATTGAACCATTTTTATTGACAGCATGAAATAATTCGCTGATGTCTCCATGAACCACAAGTCCACAACTCAAAACATACGAATTGTTATGTGGTACATGGTACACTCTTAGTTTAACAAAACTAGGTCACGAACTGTGTTCTTGTACCCATTCCTCTTACTAAAGTGTCCCGTGACTAAGGTAACACTGAATCACTGATCCATCAACAGCATAGCATTCTTCAGCAGAGTTTACACAAAACGAACCCCAAAAGATAACGTGTCAGCAATGATGCACGGGTACGCCGATGGAGTGCCGTTTCCCATACCCGAAACGTATCGGGGACGGGTACACTACGGGGACGCCTAGGATACGTCCCCAATCCGTCCCCATCAAAAGTGGTACGCCAAGTCATTTTAGGGACGTTTAGAGTCATGGTCGGAAACGTTTCGGGTACGGAAAAACCCAATTTCTGACGTTTCCTTAGAAGCTCAGCCATTTTTTTAAAAAAAAAAACCAAAATTAGTGAATTACGAACCTTATTTTCGATTTACCCCAATTTTCACAAACCCTAACTATTGCGAACGGCAATTCCCTGGGAGGTGCGACCTGATTTAGTCGTCTGCGGCGACCAGAGACCACCTGCGACCACCCCGACACTGATGACCGGCGAGGCTTCAACCTGTAACTGTTTCTCTTTCTTCTCTCTATTCAGCTTCTAGTTCTCGTTTTTTCCTATCTTTGAACTAGTTGTTTTCTTTTCTTTTGAGTTTTGGGTTTTTTTTTTCTTTTTTTTTTTTCTTGAAGTCAGTGATTATAGATGGCAGACTGGCAGTCAAGTAGGTGTATAGAGAGCACTTTCTGCTTTTTTTTTCGTTTTAAATGGTACTCACTATATTTATTATTTATTTATTTTTTCATGAATTATTTTTAATTTTTCTTTACATTTTATGGATTTATATGTATCTTTTGCCGTATTCCATGCCGTACCCGTATTTTGAAATTTTGATTTTACCGTATCTAGTTCCCGTACCCGTTTTTGTCCCCGTATCCGTTTCCGTGCAACATAGTGTGTCAGCACCATCATTACACAAGCAAGATACCCAACTTGAAGAACTTTTTCCCATAACTTCCCATCTCTATGCTGAACAAAATTGGCAACATAACAGGTTTAACTGGATAGTTATTGAAACATCTGTCTAAAGTGTGAAGGATCCATATCACGGTAATTTTCCTTTCCTATGAACTAATCACAAGAATGAATGAAATATGAGCTCAAGATAGAAGTACCTTTTGTAGATGCAGAACCACGTAAGGTACAAAGGTCAGCGAGAAATAGAGAGGAAAGGTTTTTTTAAAAGTATTTGTTGCTGCTTTCATATCATGAGCTAAACATGACTGGGTATTTGGATGAATGATGGAACAGGGAATTATGGAAGGGAACTCTTCCAGAGACACTGAATTTTGGACCCCTCTACTTGACAAGTATTCTGACAATGAAGCCACATCCACCGCACTACCTCTACAACAGTCCCGGACAGCCTTGTATACAGGTTTTGCCACTGGCCCTGTTTTTTGAATAAAATCTTGATAGGATTTTGGTAAGCTCTCAGGACGCATTATGAATGAATACATGACCTGAAAAAAGTATCTCCAAGTTAGATGAATTTAATAATATTTAATGTCAGTTTTAGTTAGACGTCTAGTAAAAATAATATGATATAAGATGGCTTTATAATACAGATACCAAATGAATCGCTTATGCAATTACAGCATCATACACAACTGAACCACTCCATGTTAACATCCATTAGCAATATTAGGTGTTCGCTACAAGAAATAAAAATAGTCATAGAGGACATAGTTTAATTTAGAAATCACAAGACTCACAGTACCATATGGTTGATGTACTTTACATGGTAGTGCATATGAATATATGATAATATATAAGATGAATTAGCTAATGCAATTATGGCATTATATACAACTGACCTACTTCATGTTAACACCCATTTGCAATAATAGATGTTTGCTCCAGAAAGAATCATGTCATAGGAGGACAAAGCTTGCTTTAAAAATTAGAAGTCACAACACCACGATGGTAGTGCATATAATATTACTTTCTTTTTTTTTTTTTTTTTTTTGTTTACAATTCTGCTGAGTTATTAAACAAATGCATCAAATGCGGCAAAGCAAGTAACAAGGGAGAAGAGGGGAGAATAATCTCTAACGGCAATTTTTTATTGAAAAAATGTCTCAATGACCGCAACAAATATTATGAAACAAAATTTGCACGTGGAAAAGAAAGATGTAATTAGCATGCAGGTAAACCACAATTACCTGCGCAGAAGATAAAGCAAAGAGTAAAGAATCACCATGTCTCCAGTGGCTTCCCCATAGATGAAATTTGTTCTTGGATTTAGCAGAGTTGTAAGTACACTAGTAGCAGAAGAAAGAAAACATTATCAGATGTAATTAAAGCCTCACAATGTTGCAAAAATGATCACCTGACATCAGTAACATAGATGAGCAGGAACAGCCTTAATTCAATATACAAGAAAACAATTTAATTGATTAAGGTACCTGAGCCAGCCTGGCCAAAAGATACAGAGCTAGAGTACGCCTTTGGTTGGGATCATCTAATGCTAAGATTGACAAGCCTGCAATAGAGCCTGCTAAGATTCTGCTCCATCATCAGCTTTAACAAAGTTACCAATATGTAATGCTTGGGAGTGTTTTACATAACACCACTGTACAGTTAATATGAGCAACTAAAACACATACAAAGTAGTTACAAACTTACGCATTGAAAGGAGTTTCTTTTCTCCTCAACTTCCTCAGTATACATCTCAGGGCATGATAGGATCCAGTTAAACCACCAAAAACCAACCCAACACGACAAGCTTCCTCTCTAACAATCAGATCCCTCTCCGAGACAAGTTGCTGGACAAAAGTAACCAACAAGATTAAAAATCAGGCAAGACATATTTCCATAAAAAGCATATAAGCAACTACCACACAACCATCAGTTAATGAGGCTCTCATTTTCCAGTGTAAATGTAGAGGAGTACTACATATCATTGATACATTTCCTTGTGCATAGCAATTCAGTATACAAAATGATAATAGCATATTTCCTTTACTATGAAGGTCAAACTAATTTATAAACAAATGGTAATACTTGAAACTAAAGCTTTTGCCTACCCATTTTTCCACCGATGATTGAAATGCTAGACATAGGTTTATTTATCCAGACAAAAATTTGTGAACAATTGTCAATATCTTCACACAGATAATTTGTGGAACTAAAAATCAATATCTTCACATGGATATTTTGTGGAATCTATCTAAAAGAGTTCTCCCATCTTTTTAACATTCTATGTCGGGCTATGGTGAAAGACTGCAAGGGATCACTGGATCACTACAAGGAGATTACCAAGTCACAAACACAAGAGAATTTGGTATTGAAGATTAGGAAGCAACATGGAAAACATAGTATGTGGTACGACCAAACCATAGAGTATAGAAGAATCAGGCAACTTGAGCAGGGTTTGCTAGCTATACTTAGAGATGTAACAAAGCTCCATCACATGAAAATCCCAAGCCACTAGAAGCAAACAATCATGCCAACCTCAATGCAGCTCCCATCTCAAATGATGATCAATCCGAGGATAATTGTTGTTGAATCCTTAATGTCTGATATATCTGTAATGCAAAGTTTTTTTTATTATTATTTTTTTTTATATATAGCCAGGACCAGTCCATGACCGTAGTAAAGTTATACTTTTGATCCCCACTTTATTAGCTGCTAAGCTTGGCTGCTTTTCATGCCAAGTTCTAACAGAAATAGTCTTGCAGTTGTAAGTTTGAGACTAGAAGAGCCTCTTTCCTGCTGTATCAGTATATTACATATATTTGACCTCTAGCAACCCTTCTCTAAATTTGACACATATTAAGGTCTCTTTAGAAGCATAGAAAATGGTATGATATGGATGATGACCTCTAACAATTTACGCAAATCATCAAGCTTTCCCAAGTACTTATAAGGACTTCACTTGCTAATAGAATGTGATCTAACTTTTAAAGAACTCTTCACTTATTCTTTCCAAGTGGGACTTGGGATAAACAACCCCAACATCCAATAAGGATCTTATCAGACCAAGCACCGCCTCACGGCAAATCTACCGTCCTATTTAGGCCTAGCCCAAGGCCATCTCTATATCTCTTATGTAATGCTAATTCAAAATAAATTAAGGGTCTCTACTCTTTATTCAGCTTCCCCCTAGAGAAAACCCAAAGGTGCATTCATATTTCCCATAGAATCTATCAAATCACATGGCATGGCATAATCGTCCGTACAAATAATTAGCTAAGCCATCATTGATATGATTTATAACTGGCTGGTATTCCACAGCTTGCTTGGCTTTAAAAGTCACTAACAAATACTCTGTAATGGACTGACTTAGTATTTTCTGATTTAAAGACTAATTAAGAGATAAAAGCTTGATAATTTAGATTAATAATGGCAGAATTTGGATACAAAAGGATAGATTAATAGCTTAAGGCTATCACTCTCTTGATAACTTTAGGTTATCACTCTCCTAGTAACTTGAGGTTACTACTCTCAACAATTTTCCTCACAATTCACATGATGGCTAATGCATATATTCTCCCTTATTTATACTAAGGCTTAGGAATAAGGACTACTAACCTAAAAGTATTAAACTTCCCAAATTACCCTTCTAAATTATGGTCTATTACATACTCATTGTGTGTGTACTTAGATTTCAAGAGGCTATCATAAAGCTTGAATCTTACCCAAGGAGCTAACAAAACTTCAATCCACACATTGAGTTTGTTACATTAATCTACATATAGCATCCAAAATACAAGCAGGATAGTCGCAACTAAGTTCTATATTCACATAAAGAATAGTATACATTTTTGCTTGTTTTCGGCCCGTCCAATCCACTATCAAATTATCAATCTACTATGGACTCGTGATCCACTTTAATTAGATCCATTTTGACATGCCATAAGATGAGCCACTAATGACCTTGCCCACTATTAACCCAAACCAGCCCCTACCTGAATCCCCAAACCATGTCTACTAGAAACCACACCCACAATCAATTCTCTAAGTTGATGTATGAATTTTGAAAATATTCATAATCATCATCATGTACTCCCTTCCTCTATATATACATATCCACAAGATCAAGGCAAAACCAAAACCAAAACCAAATTAACAAACCCCAAAATTTTCCAATTAATCATAAATGATGAAACTTGAGGCTGATATGAACAATAAAACGCCGAAAATAGCTAGTAAAATGATACTACATCAATTGACAATTTAAACATACTTTTTGGTCACCACATTTCCTTACTTCTAAGACTCGGTACTCACTAGTACAGCTTACAATAAAAATGCCATACATTATCCTTGTTCGACATCGATACAGAATAGTCATAAAAGGATTTCTATCTTCCTATCGATAATTCGTAACCCTAATTTGAGTAATTTCAATCTCTATGATCACAAATTCCAACAAGAAATATTCAAACAATTGCAATTAGAAAAAGAAAAAATTGAAATCAACAAATTGAACCAATGCATAAACAAATTAATCAACACAAAAAACAAAAATACAATAATTAAGCATAATGTAGAACCTTAAGATCAAGGAGGGAAGAGTAAGAATGACCACGAGCAAGCTTGAACGCGCGCAATAGGATGCCAATACCAACACGAACGCCATATGAGAGGAGGAAGCTCTGACAGAGATTACCAATGGCGTGAGCAACACAGGAGTCATCAGGGTGATCGCAGGGAGGGCAGTGAGGTCCACGCGCTGCAGCCGTAGCGGCGCGACTAAGCTGGCGACGCTGGAGCTCTTGGATGGCTTCTTTGAGGCGCTCCTCCGCCTCGCGAAGGCGATGTTCGGAGGAAGCGGTGTCGGAAGGATCGGAGATGATGGGACGATGAGGGGATGACGGAGGTGTTGATCGAGGCATAATTGTGGAAAAAATAAAAGAAGGTGTTTTGGTTGGTTGTTTTGTTGGTTTAATTTGTTTGAAATGTTTTGATTGATTTTGTAATAAGAAGTTGGTTTTTTTTTTTTTTTCTGGATTTGGGTAAAATTGAAGGTTAGTTTTTCAGTTGTGAGCAAAAGTTTTGTTGTATGCTTGCTTAGTTGCTTGCACGTCTCTCAAATTTTTGGTTGTTGGGCTTTCCGAAAATGGAGTTGTTTTTTTTTTACCAGAAACTATGAGGAATGTCGATTCATGAGATTTTTATGCACTCGATAATACATGAATAAAATTATCTTATTTACTTGGCAAAATTATCTTATGATTTTGATTGTATATGTTTGTTAATGTGTATTTTTCACTTTTTATCTACTTGAATGTTTATCCCTATAATGTCGGAACATTATTTATTTATTTTTTTAAAAAAAAATTATTCTTAAAAATACCCATTATAACAAATAGGAAAAGATGTATTATTTACATGTTAAGAATAATTTAGAAAAAAATTTCAAATACGGCCTTTTAAAGATCAAATAATTAGGTCTTATTAAAAATAAAAGGAGATCGAATTATTAGGAAAAAAACACCTTAAAAAAATTATTATTGTAATAAACGATTTTTTTATGTCAATGAACAAATGTAGCTTATTGACTAATTCCACACAGTTGTAATTAAATATAGCAACAAACTACTTGAACAATTTAATTTAAACGCAAATCCCAAAAACTAACCTGAATACAGTCATATATTGTACACCATAAATGAAACCCACTACCATCCCACATAAAAAGCACTGGCACACTACCATCTTTCGACTACACCCACGGCCGTATCTGGGGCAGGGCAACCGGGGCGGTCGCCCAGGGCCCAAAGCAAAAGCCCAACTTTTCGTTTGTAACAGTCCGGCCTTAATTATTTTAGGTATAAATATTAATTCCTAGACATGTTCAAAGAATGAATAAAGTGGTTCATTGGTTAGTACTTCTCATAATTTTTCACGCTTACTTTCACTTCTAGGTTCGATTCCCATTAGCTATTTTTTTTTTTTCATTCTTTCTTAATTTCGTATGACTTTAGTTTAATCATTTTTTTTTTTTTGGCTCAACAGATTTTAAGATTAATATTATACATTCACATTAATACTTCGTATTAGAGTACTAGGAAGTATTGTTCTTTTTTAATTGCATGCAATGTGGGGAGTTTCACGCTCGTTAATGTCAATGCACATTTTATAACTTATATATCTTTAGTTATATTTTACTAAATATTATAAAAGTTGATAACGAAAGTATATTTCGAGGAAAATCTAACAAATTATCACATGCATATATATTTTTTTCAACCCATAAATCACAAAAGATGATCAAAGGTGCGTAGGTGAACGTGATTAATAAATTCGAAATGTTAAAATAATATTTTTAAAAAAAAACTTTTTTGGAGGAAATATAAGCTAAATAGCCGCACAAATAGTACTCTTCATTTGAAATCAATCTTTAGTTCATATTGTATGTATGATTAAATTTATAGGGCCCCTAATTATTATTTTGCCCTTAGGCCCCACAAAACTCAGAAACGGCCCTGACTACACCAACCCGCCCAACATCAACACTAATGATCAAATCAAGCTTTACATCTAAAATTTTCAAAGCCAATAAGGATTTCGAAGCCATTAAAAAGCATAAACTAAAAATCTATAGAGGTAGAAGAAATGAGCTAACACATACACCAAGACAAGCACACCTTGCATCCAGGTGGCAAGGCATGTAATAATTAAATCTTCTCCACATTTAAGGTTATAATGTCTTTTAAACCAGTAAATTAGGAGCATAATAGTCAACAAATGTTCATAAGAAACAATAGCAAAAGTTTGAACTTTTTAAAGGTTTATTTATAGATATATTTGTTGTAAATAAACATTATTTCGAGGTTTTTTGGAACCCTCGGGATACCAGTCGTGAAAATGCCTCGAACGATCGCGAACACCTGCAAAACAACAAATATTCTAATGGTTAAGTTAGTTACCAAAAAACGACGATATAACAAATACCAGTCGTGAATATGACGGAATATTCGGCTCCCATGGTTAAGTTAGTAACCAAAAAAAGAAGATATTGAGAGAGAGAAAGTAGAGAGAAGTTGGAACACTTTAATGCCTCTTTTATGATTGGGGTATTTTATAGGGGTGGAAATGTGTGTATTATAGAGTTTGGTACCCTAAAAAGAGCTCGTAAGGAAATATGTTCTTTGAAGGCACCGTTTTGGCGCTTTTTTCGGGAATTGGACCTCCTGATGTAATGGAGGCATTTTTCACTATTCAGGTACTCTCATGTTTGCCACATGTCATCTTTCCATTAGAACACGTGTCGTCTAATTAGTAAGCATGTCATTATGGGATTGGACCACGTGGTAGGGGTATTATTACCCTAAACAAGCATCTATAGTCAGAAGTCATTGCAAATTAGGTGGTACATTGTGTGCATAGTGTTTAAAACAACAACCAATGTTCATTGAGGTCATATTATATGAAGTATGTTTTTTTCAGATTTAAAGTATATGTTCTTTTTCTCTTCATGAATGAAAGGAGCATATCCTAGTATGAAGAGAACTTTTTTAAAAATAAAATTGGGCTGGACTTAAGTATTAAATCTTGTGCCCAAATCGACAAAGTAGTATAAGGCTTTTTCGGACCAAGCAAGGCTTTTTGGTTTTTTCAGCTCAAGCTCAAGTTTAGGTCTAAAAATAGGCAAATTATAAGATGCACCATGGTGCATATAGTTCTATGTGAACCACCAATTAAAATATACTTTCTCTTCTCTTTTCTCCTCTACTTTCCTAATTTCTGATTTTTCTCTCTTTCATTTTCTCTTTCCTCTATTTTCTCTCTCCTCTATTTTTCTCTCTATTTTATTTTTCTTTCTCTTGAATTCGTTCATCATCCTTTTAATTGAATTCATTCATATTGTTGATCATCATAGAGTGAATTCCTTCATTACAATAGATTAAATTCAAATTTTGTTTCTTCAATCTTCAATTTGAAGTTTTGTTAAGGGAGTTTTACAATGAAGTAGTAAAGCTAAAATGGCGGCGTCATCGAATAGAAGGTGGTTAAGACGATGGTGTGATTATTTTCCAATGAGATTTCATTATCTAAATCACCATGGCTAGATTTGAGTTTCAAAATATGTAGTTTTCATATTCTTTTGATTTTTTTAGTGATAATTGTGTATTTTTGTTATGAACGGTTTTGTATTTGATTATATTTTAGCATTTTGAACATTTTAAGTTAAAAATATGAACGTATGTATGATACGTTTTTTGTAAATACATAACATGTATTTTGGAAATTACGAACATCTTTATTATAATTTTGAACATGCGATACATTACTTATAAACTTATTTTTGTTTTAGATTATGTATTTTTAGGCATTCTCTACTTTATAGTTTATGGTTGGGTTCAAAAGTTTTTGTAAGGGGTTTAGAGGTTATTCTAGGGTGTTTAGTGGTGTGTGGTCGGTGTTTAGAAGATTTCGTATGGGGTTCAGAGGTTATTCTAGGGTGTTCAGTGGTTTGTGGTTGGGGTTCAGAAGTTTTTTTTTAGGGAGTTCAAAGGTTTTTGTATGGTGTTCAGTGGTTTGTGGTTGGGGTTCAGAAGTTTTTGTAAGGGTTCAGAAGTTTTTTAAGGGTGTTCAGTGGTTTGTGATTGGGTTTCAGAAGTTTTGTAGGGGGTTCAGTGGCTTGTGGTTGGGGTTCAGAAGTTTTATTTTTTTTGGGGGGGGGGGGGGTTAGAGGCTTTTGAAGGGTGTTCAGTGGTTTTCGTAGGGGGTTCAGAGGTTTTTGAAGGGAGTTCAGTGGTTTGTGCTTGGGGTTTAGAAGTTTTAGTAGGGGGTTCAGAGGTTTTTGTAGGGTGTTCATTGGTTTGTGGTTGTGGTTCAGAAGTTTTTGTAAGGAGTTCAGAGGTTTTTGTAAGGTGTTCAGTAGTTTATGTTTGGGGTTCAGAAGTTTTTATAGGGGGTTCAGAGGTTTTTGAAGGGAGTTTAGTGGTTTGTGGTTGGGGTTCAAAAGTTTTTGTAGAGGGTTCAGAGATTTTTCTAAGGTGTTCAGTAGTTTATGGTTGGGGTTCAGAGGTTTTTGTAAGGGTTCAGAAGTTTTTGAAAGATGTTCAGTGGTTTGTGGTTGGGGTTCAAAAGTTTTGTACGGGGTTTAAATGTTTTTGTAGGGTGTTCAGTGGTTTGTAATTGGGGTTCAGAAGTTTTAACAATTTGTTTTTTCTTAGATTTATCATCTAATTTCTTCTTTTTGGTGTTCTGACGTTGAACATTTGACTAATTGTACTGTTAAAAAATTTTAGGGTTCAAGTTAGTATTCAATTCTAAAAATTAACAATTTAAAATCAAATTGCGAATTTAAACAATAAATTGCTTATACATCTTCATCCTCTTCAATAGAAGCATATAATTTTGATTTTCTACCAAAAAAAAAAATTAAAAAAAAAATAAATATAAAAAAGTCAAAAAGACAATTATATAGTAAAATATAGTTTTAATTTTACAATTTGTTGAATTATATTAGCAAATTTAACATAAATGTAGGAAAATAAAAAAAGTTAAGTGATGTTTACCTTTTTAAAGGTGTTTTTTTTTGTCTTTTGTTATGGTAGATTGCAGTTTTTAGAGAAAAAAAAATGGTGAGAGGAGAGAGAAAATACAAAAGAATTAATTGAGAAAGGTTTTTAATTTATGAGAGGAGAGAGAAATTTTTTAAAATGAAATAAAAATTGATATGACAATTTTTTTTTGAACTTAAATTGATATGACAGTTGGAGAGAGGAGGAACTAATATTCTTAAAAAAAAAATTAAATAAAAATAAAAATTCCCCTATTGGGCAAGGATTGGGCCAGGTGCTAGGTGCACCATGGTGCACATAATACTAATTGCTAAAAATATACTTCTATGTTTTGCTTCAAAGCTTTCTTCATGATCTTATTTTTCCATCGCTCCTTCCATGCCTCCTTGGTTTGATCCTTAGTTGCCATTTCTTTTAAAATTCTAATTAGCTGGATTGAAGGT